CAGTATTCTTTTATTATATTCTAAAATATTTGTTGAGTGATATTCCATTTTTCATTCTCGATATTAGTGATTTGTAGTTTCTCTCATTTTAAAAATCAGTCTTTTTGTAAATCTTTTCAAAGAATCAATGATTGACTTTGTTGTTTTCTCCCTGTAGTTTATCTACTTTCTAATTAACTGAATTTTTTCTTATTATATTATTTATTTTTACTTTTAGTTTAATTTGCTCTTATTTTTCTAACTTCTTAAAGCAGAAATTTTTACAACTTCATAACCATGTGAGTATACTACTAGGACCCCTCACAGGGCTTCGGAAAGTGCCCTATGCCATTGAGAGGCCATGAGGCTCTCTCTTCATTATGTTCACCATAAATACTACTTCTTAAACTATTCTATTTCACTTATTTGAAAATGTACATTGGTTTTTATATTTTAACAACTCTGAAAATGAAATATGTCCAATAAGATATGACATCTTATAATTGCTGTCAGCAAGGCGGAAGTCATGGCATAGTCATCATTGCCTGAGGATGCATAAAGCTGGTTTTGGCTGTTTATAATGTCATCATTTAAGTATTAAAATATTATAAAATAATTATGATTCAGCACTGAAACCAAAAAAACATGTATGTTAAGAAAGACAGCAACATTTAACATTAGTGAAGCAAATATTATGGGACGAATGATCATAATTTAATATTTTCTTTCAAAGTAATAACCAATTAATTTCATTTATATTTTGCTTTTCATGTGTCTATCATAGTAATATAGGAGAAAAGCCATGTCTAAATCATAGCTAAAATGAAAACATTAAGTGATGAGAAGCACCAAGTCGTAATTTTATTGGTAGTCTTTTTCTTTTTTCTGATATATCTTATAGCTGATAGTGCCTTTGATTCAATGAAATATGGGTAGCGCATTTAATTCTCACATAAAATCCTATGAAGTTGCTGACTATTATTATTCACTTTTAGAAATTAGAAAATTGGCACAAAGGATATTAACTTTTCCGAGTAATATAGCTAGAAGGTGGCAGAGCTAGGATGAGAATGTAGGCGTTTGGGTCTATGCTCTTCATCACAACATTATATTCCCATGGTACTTGATGGGAGCAGAGAAGCAGTTTCCTTTTTGAGATGCTCATCAATGGAAATATTAGATTTTCCAGATGACTATTGACCTTGTCCTTTTCCTACTTAAAACTGTTCACGGGACCGGGCGCGGTGGCTTGTGCCTGTAATCCCAGCACTTTGGGAGGCTGAGGCGGGTGGATCACGAGGTCAAGAGATCAAGACCATCCTGGTCAACATGGTGAAACCCTGTCTCTACTAAAAACACAAAAAATTAGCTGGGCATGGTGGTGCGTGCCTGTAATCCCAGCTACTCAGGAGGCTGAGGCAGAAGAATTGCCTGAACCCAGGAGGCAGAGGTTGCGGTGAGCTGAGATTGCGCCATTGCACTCCAGCCTGGGTAACAAGAGTGAAACTCTGTCTTAAAAAAAAAAAAAAACTGTTCGTGAGCTCTTCACCACCCATGTATAGAGCTCAAACTTCTTAAAGGCAAAGCCTGCAATCACCTAGCCTCAGCCAGCTCTTGAGACTTACACAACTCATGCAACACTAAACACCAGCAGCACCAAACTATTGTCTTTATTTTACCACAACCATATGTTCATATATCTAGGACATTTCTGGTTTACATCTCTGGTCCTGGAATCATAGTTAATTGATCCTCCTTTTACTTCTTAAGGTTGCCACTTTAGATAACAAGGTCATCCTACCTCTCATGTCTCTAGTTGTGTTTTGCTTGTTTGAGGTTATTCGTGTTAATCCTTATGCAGAAAAGACTTGTCATAGCAGGCCTAACTGCTATATTTTGAATATATTTCAAAATATATTTTGAAAGGCCTGCTTACAAGGTTGTCCCTTGGCTACCATTTGAAGACTTGGATTTCAGAAGGTTTTCAGGTCCAACCATTCCTAGGCCCGGGAAGAGTGACTACATTATGCTAAAATATGGTTTATGCTAACTACTTGTTTTCCTTCTGAAAGTCAGGAATTTTGGTACATATTAGGAAAAGATGCCTATATGACTAGCCGCCCCCCCCCCCCGCCCCGCCCAGTAAAATTCCTGGACTTTTAGTATCCAAGAAGCTTCCCTGGTTGTCAGCATTTCACGTGTCATCACAACTCATTTTAATTAAGCAAGTCGTGTGTGACTTAGTAGAGAGTGGACTCTTAGAAGTTTGTTGTGATTTCTCCAGGACTTTGCCTCATGTGCCTCTTCCCTTTGTTGATTTTGCTTTGTATCCTGGCACTGTAATAAATCATAGCTTTGAATATATGGTAAGTCCTGTAAGTCCTTGTAGTAAAACATCAAATCTGGAGGTAGCCTTGGGGTTCCTTGATACCCCTTCACCACCTGGAATCACTTGCTGTGTCTTCCCCTTCCCTCGTTGCCTGGATGACCTTTTCTTGGAAGCTGCCTCTGAACTGCTTCCCACCCCATCCTGCTAATACTCTTCTTGGAGCTACTATCCTGCAGCTGTTTCTGCTTTTACATTTATCACCTCATTTAATAATTGCAGAGACTTTGTCTTGTACTCCACTAGACTATGAATTTCTTGAAGGCTAGATCTGTGTTATATTTGTCCTTGAATCTGTACACCTGTCACTAATATTTGTTGAAAATAAACACACTGGCCAATCCAGGATCGTTTTATGACATCTAGTGGTGTCTATATATAAAATAATAATTATAACATAAGTTTGGAATGTGCTTTGAGAACTCTTTTTTTTATTTTTTTATTTTTTATTTTTTATTTTTTATTTTTTTGAGACGGAGTTTCGCTCTTGTTACCCAGGCTGGAGTGCAATGGCGCGATCTTGGCTCACCGCAACCTCCGCCTCCTGGGTTCAGGCAATTCTCCTGCCTCAGCCTCCCGAGTAGCTGGGATTACAGGCACACACTACAGTGCCCAGCTAATTTTTTGTATTTTTAGTTGAGACGCGGTTTCACCATGTTGACCAGGATGGTCTCGATCTCTCGACCTCGTGATCCACCCGTCTCGGCCTCCCAAAGTGCTGGGATTACAGGCTTGAGCCACCGCGCCCGGCCCAAGAACTCTTTTTTTTTTAAAGCATACCTTTGCGTATACAGTTAAGTTATTAAATTGTTTTCTATTTAATAGGCACTTAGAAAACACCTACTGTATATTATATGCTAAGTGGGGCTTTGGGGTCTAAAAAAGAAAGAAGAGAATTAAAGGGCCAACATGATGTTAAGACAATTGGGAGAATTAAATATATTTTTCAGCTTCGTTATTCTGTAAAACTGTGCTAAGGAAAATGGCTCTTCTTACTTCATAGCCATGAGATGAAATAAAGTGGACCAGGGTGATGCTTCAGGAGAAGGTGCCAGGGAATTCCAAGTACAGTACTTATCAATAACTTGCATGCTTCACTAATTTTTACCAAAAAAAGCTGCTGCTTTTTTTTTTTTTTTGATTACTCATTGGCTGGAAACATCGACTCTTGTTCTGGTGTAATTCATTTCTTTATAAATTTCATAAAAATGGTATTTAGATTTATTTTTTCCTTCCTTCACTTGTTTGCAAATGCCTCTCTCTTTCCTCTCACAAGTTATATAATCAGCTTGCTATTTTTTTGGTACTGCTCTTCTGACAAAACCAAGCTTAAGCTTTATGAAATATATTTTCATATCTTAGAAGTTGTCTCAATGATAACTTTGCTATGAGCTGAATATATTATGTATCATTTTAATTGTTCTTACACTTAAAAGCAATATTATGTTTCCTGAGATGTCATTTTTCAAGTTAAAATTAGAACTAGAAAAAGACACCCTCCTTTTAGGGGATGGGACTTTTATACTATAAGAAGTGGAAGTTATTGGCTATTCCAGAGAGTAAGTTTCAGCTAAGCTCAGCCAACATTGTAATTACATCTTATATTTATCTTCAAGATGTAGCTGAATATGTGGGAATGGCTGGGATGGAATTCATCAATGTCTGAATCATTCCTTTTATGAGAACTTAAACTGATCTCAGATTGTTCAAAACACCCTTCTTAAATACTATCTTTTACTCATTATTAACAACCATTATCCTTTTGAGGAGAAAATAGTGCACAGGACACTGGTCTTGGCCATGTAAGACTCAAAATTAAGCCTATTTAGATAATTACTTAGTTCTTCTCTTGATTGTGGGCTTTATACCAATTTTTCCTAAATCATAAACAATTTAGAAATTATTATATGGGATAAATGGGAATATTTCAGATTATTAATTATTTTAATATTAACAAAAGCCTCATTTCATGAATAGAAAGTCCAGATTTTCAGCTGAATAATTCACAAACACTTGTAAAAGAACTCCTGAGAAAATCTTTGAGAAAAGTATTCAAATATTTTTGCATTGTCCAAGCCTTATTTAATTCTTAACAAGATAAAAAAATTACATCTAAATCAAGTCCATCATCTATTTAACAGAGGCAAAAATCCACAGAGGTCTGCCTAAATAATAAAATTGTAGTTTGGGAAGAATTGAAAGCCTCACCCTCCCAAATGCTCTTGCTGTCACTCCTCTTTCTCTCTCCTTCTCTTGATGAAATACACTATAGAATCCTTAAATTATCTGTTTTCTAATCATATACTTTTTACCTCTTAAAAATAGAAAGTCAACATATTTTTAATAATGGTTTGCTTTTAAATTTTGGGTTTTTGTTCTTCCACTTGATCTATGCACTGGCCACATTTTAGTTTACAATTCTAGCTGAAGCTATTGAAAGATGCCTACGTATTATAGTTTTGCATAATCCTTGTTAGATTTATTCTGATACAATTTTCATCGCTTACTGTTGTGTTCATTTATAAGTCCTACCTTCAAGATGTTTACTTTAGAAAAAGAAAGAACTTCACAAAATTCTGATATTGCAATATAAAATTACAGTTTTACATCAGAACAAGAACTAAACCAGACTTACAAATTGTGTGGTGAAGAGAATACAGCATACTAGCCGAAGGATGCCATCCCTCTGCTTCCCCACTTCTACTGTTTCTTTTCATGTTGCTGTTGCTCAACTCCGGGAAAGAAACACCAGGAACAAAGACCTATTCTATTAGCGTAGTTTCTCTTCTCCAGGAAAACAGCTAAACGTGCAACATCTTAGTGTGAAAGCAACTATTGGAAGAACAAAAGAATCAAAATGAGTATCTGACTCACACTTAAAGAAACATTTTAGCAATGGAGTTCAAAATGCATTATTAATAGGAAGATTTCTTTCTGGTCCTAAACACTGGTGAACTAATAAAGATGATGATGATGATTATTACTGGCCTTGACATTTCTCATTTCTTATCAGAATTCCAACCCTCTGAGGCAGATTGTGGGCATTAACAGCTCTGGGAAACTGAGCAGCATCTGAACATACAATGATTGATTCTTGCTCTGATTGAAATAGCTTTCAATGAAAAGTTGTTGCATGACAAAGATAACTTATTTTAAAACAGCAACCCAAATAGTCATATTTTCAAGAAAACTCTGGCTTGATAATCAACATATTTCTATGGTTGCAATATATTTGTAAGTGTTGGGAAAAAAAGATGGCATGGGCAGAAGACTAATGGAAATGTAAAGATATGTGTTTATTATTCGGGGAGTCAATTTATTATTTTTCACCACTTGTTTTATTAGCGTACATCTTGTGTTACATGTTGCTGTAATCTCCTTTATTAGGAGTAGCTGAAAGGTCCTGTCATTATTTATTGTTTCAATGCCTCAGGTTCCGTGTTTTGTTCTGAATTTTCTATGCCAACTTCTTTTGACATGAAAGTGAAATATTGTTGTTTGGGTAGATGTGTGAATGGGTCTAGGGTGGGTGTTTTATATGAAAACAATCACAGAAAATCAGTTGCGTGAACAAATTCTATCTTCAGGCAAAATAACACTTTCGCTGCAAATGATATCCCACTGTAAATGTTCTCTTATCATAGCTTTCTCTGGGCTAATGTGGTCCTTTCTCATTGCTCCCCTCCCTTTCATGCCCCCCAACTCTAGTAAACTAGAAATACTATTGTGCAAATGGAGAAATATGCATACTTCTCTTTTCCAGAGGCACTTTTACCGAAAAGGAAATGCACCACAAACTGTTTTACCACTTTGACACAGCTTCTGTAAAGAAGAAAGAGTTAACTTCTCCGTCTGCAGCTGATCTGTGCTTAGACAGTTCACTGGGGCATCATGGTTATAAATGTGATAGAGTATCCCAGGAGCCTTGCATGATTTTATACTATTTTTCATAAATAAGTAAAAATGCATCATAAGGATTCCCACCTCCCAAGGAATGCACAATTAAAGCGGAGAAAAACAGGTCCTAGGATATGGGACTCTGGCTTCAGCCCTGTGGAGGAAAATGCATTTGCCTTTTTTCTTTTTTCGCTTTTGCTTTCCTCAGTCCTCTCTGATTGAGTAATGACAATAGTTCAGTAGGAAAGTGTACAGAAAGAAAATAATGCCCCAGAGCGCATCAGTAGTAAAAGTAATTAGTTCATTGTTAACATCAGGGTGCTGTTAACAAGCACACAGGCCCTGCTCTCTGGCTAAGCTGCCACATATTATGATAGTCAACTCCAAAATAAAAATTATTTTGTGTAGAACGAAACAGAATGGGGATTATAAGCTTGGAAAAGACTAAATTTGGGGACCGAGGGTATTTTTCAAAAGCATAATCAGAATCCACAAATGCAGCCTCGCCTCCCAAATCTGGTCATTATGCACCACATGTGTATTCAAAGCATGCGTGCTTATGAGAAACAGAGAGACACCGAGAGAAAGAGAGAGAGCAAGAGCGAGCTAGCGGGTGCAGGAGACTGAGCAAAAACCATTATTCTACACAGCACCTAGGGAACACAAGATCTAATTGGAGAATCAATAACTGAAACCCCATTTTAAATATTCTGCTCTATTAATTCTTCAGGTTAATAAAAGCTGCCCGCGTGATGATATTTTGGGATATAGATATTCAGAGTTGGATTACTTTTGACAAGAGCGTAAGGAATCTATTCAAAGCTGATTTTCCCCCCTTTTGTTCACCGAGGACCTGCAGAATCTAAGATAAAAATGGCAGTTGTCCTGAGGGCACCCTGAGGCATGTCATTAAAATCGGAATTTGATCCTCTTTTCATGGTTACTTGGGACAATCAAGCACAGGAAACCGGAAAACTCATCAGTTTTCCAAAATATGACATGCCCTTGACTTTGTCAGTTTGGCTGCCATATAGCAGCCCTGGCTATTTCAAAATCCCTTTAGATGTCACTCTGTCTTCAAGAATGCACGCTGCAGATCTTGTACGAGAGATGAGAGACTCAATGCTTCCTCTTGGTGCCCTTGTCCAGTTGAAGCACTTGCTTCTCTGTTTCCCAGCAAAAAGAAATTCCATCAAGGACTTCCAGTAAAAGGCCAGTAAAAGGCTGGTGTTTCTGAAGAAATGAAGCAATTTACTAATTGTAATTAATGCCAGTCTGAGAAGTGTTTTCAATCTACTTGTTCAAGCATTCTAGATAATGGGTTACTTTGGTTTTTAAAGCTGCAGTATGGGTGGTAGATTGTGGGACCACAGAGAATCTTGGAGATAATTCATTGCCACATAAAATTCTATGGCTTGCTATTGTCCATTTGTTTTTGTTTCTTTGCTTTGTTTTTGAATTTTAATTTCAACAGATAAAGGCTTTCTTCATTTTATCGTTTGAATTAGCCAAAGTCAGAGACTCCACAAAACTGGAACCACAGCCAACTTGGGTTGCTGGGAAAATAAAAGGTGTATTTCTCAAGGCAGTCCCCAGAAACCAAAGTTCTCTTTTAACTAACAAATTCTGAAATGAATTTGGGAACCAAGGTCTTTTCCCACCTCCTATCCTAACACTTGTTTTTCAAGGATGAATGATAAAGAGAGTCCTCATCTCTGAGCCCTATGTATTACCTTGACCTGAGAGACATTTGAGTATTCCCAGCAGTGAGAATAGCTTTTCATGAGGAAAGGGCAAAACTCTAACCCCAGGGCAAACAGGAGGGTTTTCCAAGTAGGCAGCATGTGGGTTTGCTATTTTCCCATATGCTGTAAAATGAACTTTTCTTTCAATAAAAGGAAAAATAAGAAAAGAGATTCGGCTACTGAACTTTACCTGCCTACTGAAGCCAGCTGCATTTTGATAGTTTTGCCTGTTACAAGTACTGTCAGTTTGAGACTATGCAAGGGGCAGCCATGTGACCAGCCAGTGTGGACTATGGAATACGAGTAATTCAGCATCGCTGACGGGTCTAGGAAATCCTTGTTGTGCTTGAGTCTTATGCTTGGGCTATTCCTCTGCTTAAATAGAATTTTGCTTAAGGAATTTTGGTTGTCTAAAGCTATTGTTTAACAACCTGAATGTTCTTTATGAGTTTAACTCATTCGTTGCTATTAATCTACTACCTGTTGCATAATAAAATTCATTTCCGGCAGAGGTACGTAGTTGGACCCATTACCTCAAATCATATCTTTCCATGGGAGTCATTTTTGAGAACTTTTGGCCACCCTACAGTTCCTGTTCTCAGGTTAATAATTTGTACAACAATAGGAGTGACTGAGTGAACAAGGTCTTGTGCAAGTCTTTGTCATTTTTTCTTGTTATTCACTAACATGATCGTTTCATGTGAGCTAATCAACTTGTCTTTTACTTGCTTTGTTCTATGCAATGTATGTGTTCTTCATCCCGCCTGGGCTGCCTTTTCTTTTCTCTCCACCTTTACTGTTTTGCTGTCTCTCGAAAACCAGCTCCTGATAAAAGCTTTCCTTGATATGATTGACTTGACAAGGATCACTCATGTATCCTTCTTTTCATTTTGTCATTGGTGTGATATTATAGCTCATAGTTCATTATTGTGGAAACTTAAATATGTTTTATATTAAGGAATGTGCCCACAAACTGAAAAGGAATAACACCTTCTATTGCTGGGTGCTAGCACTGTTAACAGACTACAGTGGACCAATTAGCCCTCCTGGGTGTGTGCTTGGTCAGCTCTTCTCAAATGGGTATGCTATTGAGTCCACCATCTTCTTTTACTTTCTATTCTCTAGGATGCATAATATAGCACCTAGCTCAACTAAAAACAGTTATTTTAGTTCAGCAAAGTGGCATCATGCAGTTATTATGTACAAAGCACTTGAAATAACATAATGACTATGAAGATATGCCAGTCCCTGGTGGTCATTTGCATACTAGATCAGGGCTTGGCAAACTATGCAGCCTGTGGGCCAGATTTGCCTGCCATTTATAAAGTTTAGTTGGTACACAGTTAAGCTTATTCACTTACGTATTGTCTGGCTAATTTTGTGCGACAACAGCAGAGTTGAGTAGTTTTGACAGAGACTGTATGACCCACAAGACTAAAATATTTACTGTTGAGCTCTTTACAGAAAAAATGTGCTGACCCTTGACCTAAATCTTTGTGAAGACCATTATTGGATTAAAGTGTAGTAAGGACTAGTGTAAAAATCAACCCAAATGAACTATTAATAGAGAAATTACACAAATGTACAGCGTTAAGCAACTTAAAAAGGGAGCTTCTTTCTATAAATAGGGGTGGAGGTGGAGGAACCAGAGCCTAGAGAATTGCAGTTATCATTCCTCAGATCAACCAGAACTTCATATGTATCAAGCACTTTTATGTGACTGCCAGTGAAGTATCCATCTATCCATCTTGTTTATTTCTTCAACAAATACTCGTTGAGGACTTGTTATATTCCAGATACTAAAGCAAGAAATTCATTGGTAAGCCAAAATGAAAGCGGATCCTTTAATCCCCATTTGTTATATAAGAAGACTGAGTCAGCACAACCAGGACTAGAACCCACATCTTCTGACTCTGCATTCAGCATGTATGCTCGCCAGTAGTCACCACCATGAGAGACACAGACTAGAAAAAAATTATACAGAATCATTTCAAATATTACTTTTCTTTCCAATAGTAGAGTTATCGGTTAATAGTATCCTGTCTATTTTTCC